GATCCGAGGCACTCGGACTCGAAAGGGTTCGGATCCACGAACCTAGAGACTTACTCGGCCCCGGACTCGAAAGGGTATTAAGCAAGCCTAGAGATCCGAGGCACTCGGACTCGAAAGGGTTCGGATCCACGAACCTAGAGACTTACTCGGCCCCGGACTCGAAAGGGTATTAAGCAAGCCTAGAGATCCGAGGCACTCGGACTCGAAAGGGTTCGGATCCACGAACCTAGAGACTTACTCGGCCCCGGACTCGAAAGGGTATTAAGCAAGCCTAGAGATCCGAGGCACTCGGACTCGAAAGGGTTCGGATCCACGAACCTAGAGACTTACTCGGCCCCGGACTCGAAAGGGTATTAAGCAAGCCTAGAGATCCGAGGCACTCGGACTCGAAAGGGTTCGGATCCACGAACCTAGAGACTTACTCGGCCCCGGACTCGAAAGGGTATTAAGCAAGCCTAGAGATCCGAGGCACTCGGACTCGAAAGGGTTCGGATCCACGAACCTAGAGACTTACTCGGCCCCGGACTCGAAAGGGTATTAAGCAAGCCTAGAGATCCGAGGCACTCGGACTCGAAAGGGTTCGGATCCACGAACCTAGAGACTTACTCGGCCCCGGACTCGAAAGGGTATTAAGCAAGCCTAGAGATCCGAGGCACTCGGACTCGAAAGGGTTCGGATCCACGAACCTAGAGACTTACTCGGCCCCGGACTCGAAAGGGTATTAAGCAAGCCTAGAGATCCGAGGCACTCGGACTCGAAAGGGTTCGGATCCACGAACCTAGAGACTTACTCGGCCCCGGACTCGAAAGGGTATTAAGCAAGCCTAGAGATCCGAGGCACTCGGACTCGAAAGGGTTCGGATCCACGAACCTAGAGACTTACTCGGCCCCGGACTCGAAAGGGTATTAAGCAAGCCTAGAGATCCGAGGCACTCGGACTCGAAAGGGTTCGGATCCACGAACCTAGAGACTTACTCGGCCCCGGACTCGAAAGGGTATTAAGCAAGCCTAGAGATCCGAGGCACTCGGACTCGAAAGGGTTCGGATCCACGAACCTAGAGACTTACTCGGCCCCGGACTCGAAAGGGTATTAAGCAAGCCTAGAGATCCGAGGCACTCGGACTCGAAAGGGTTCGGATCCACGAACCTAGAGACTTACTCGGCCCCGGACTCGAAAGGGTATTAAGCAAGCCTAGAGATCCGAGGCACTCGGACTCGAAAGGGTTCGGATCCACGAACCTAGAGACTTACTCGGCCCCGGACTCGAAAGGGTATTAAGCAAGCCTAGAGATCCGAGGCACTCGGACTCGAAAGGGTTCGGATCCACGAACCTAGAGACTTACTCGGCCCCGGACTCGAAAGGGTATTAAGCAAGCCTAGAGATCCGAGGCACTCGGACTCGAAAGGGTTCGGATCCACGAACCTAGAGACTTACTCGGCCCCGGACTCGAAAGGGTATTAAGCAAGCCTAGAGATCCGAGGCACTCGGACTCGAAAGGGTTCGGATCCACGAACCTAGAGACTTACTCGGCCCCGGACTCGAAAGGGTATTAAGCAAGCCTAGAGATCCGAGGCACTCGGACTCGAAAGGGTTCGGATCCACGAACCTAGAGACTTACTCGGCCCCGGACTCGAAAGGGTATTAAGCAAGCCTAGAGATCCGAGGCACTCGGACTCGAAAGGGTTCGGATCCACGAACCTAGAGACTTACTCGGCCCCGGACTCGAAAGGGTATTAAGCAAGCCTAGAGATCCGAGGCACTCGGACTCGAAAGGGTTCGGATCCACGAACCTAGAGACTTACTCGGCCCCGGACTCGAAAGGGTATTAAGCAAGCCTAGAGATCCGAGGCACTCGGACTCGAAAGGGTTCGGATCCACGAACCTAGAGACTTACTCGGCCCCGGACTCGAAAGGGTATTAAGCAAGCCTAGAGATCCGAGGCACTCGGACTCGAAAGGGTTCGGATCCACGAACCTAGAGACTTACTCGGCCCCGGACTCGAAAGGGTATTAAGCAAGCCTAGAGATCCGAGGCACTCGGACTCGAAAGGGTTCGGATCCACGAACCTAGAGACTTACTCGGCCCCGGACTCGAAAGGGTATTAAGCAAGCCTAGAGATCCGAGGCACTCGGACTCGAAAGGGTTCGGATCCACGAACCTAGAGACTTACTCGGCCCCGGACTCGAAAGGGTATTAAGCAAGCCTAGAGATCCGAGGCACTCGGACTCGAAAGGGTTCGGATCCACGAACCTAGAGACTTACTCGGCCCCGGACTCGAAAGGGTATTAAGCAAGCCTAGAGATCCGAGGCACTCGGACTCGAAAGGGTTCGGATCCACGAACCTAGAGACTTACTCGGCCCCGGACTCGAAAGGGTATTAAGCAAGCCTAGAGATCCGAGGCACTCGGACTCGAAAGGGTTCGGATCCACGAACCTAGAGACTTACTCGGCCCCGGACTCGAAAGGGTATTAAGCAAGCCTAGAGATCCGAGGCACTCGGACTCGAAAGGGTTCGGATCCACGAACCTAGAGACTTACTCGGCCCCGGACTCGAAAGGGTATTAAGCAAGCCTAGAGATCCGAGGCACTCGGACTCGAAAGGGTTCGGATCCACGAACCTAGAGACTTACTCGGCCCCGGACTCGAAAGGGTATTAAGCAAGCCTAGAGATCCGAGGCACTCGGACTCGAAAGGGTTCGGATCCACGAACCTAGAGACTTACTCGGCCCCGGACTCGAAAGGGTATTAAGCAAGCCTAGAGATCCGAGGCACTCGGACTCGAAAGGGTTCGGATCCACGAACCTAGAGACTTACTCGGCCCCGGACTCGAAAGGGTATTAAGCAAGCCTAGAGATCCGAGGCACTCGGACTCGAAAGGGTTCGGATCCACGAACCTAGAGACTTACTCGGCCCCGGACTCGAAAGGGTATTAAGCAAGCCTAGAGATCCGAGGCACTCGGACTCGAAAGGGTTCGGATCCACGAACCTAGAGACTTACTCGGCCCCGGACTCGAAAGGGTATTAAGCAAGCCTAGAGATCCGAGGCACTCGGACTCGAAAGGGTTCGGATCCACGAACCTAGAGACTTACTCGGCCCCGGACTCGAAAGGGTATTAAGCAAGCCTAGAGATCCGAGGCACTCGGACTCGAAAGGGTTCGGATCCACGAACCTAGAGACTTACTCGGCCCCGGACTCGAAAGGGTATTAAGCAAGCCTAGAGATCCGAGGCACTCGGACTCGAAAGGGTTCGGATCCACGAACCTAGAGACTTACTCGGCCCCGGACTCGAAAGGGTATTAAGCAAGCCTAGAGATCCGAGGCACTCGGACTCGAAAGGGTTCGGATCCACGAACCTAGAGACTTACTCGGCCCCGGACTCGAAAGGGTATTAAGCAAGCCTAGAGATCCGAGGCACTCGGACTCGAAAGGGTTCGGATCCACGAACCTAGAGACTTACTCGGCCCCGGACTCGAAAGGGTATTAAGCAAGCCTAGAGATCCGAGGCACTCGGACTCGAAAGGGTTCGGATCCACGAACCTAGAGACTTACTCGGCCCCGGACTCGAAAGGGTATTAAGCAAGCCTAGAGATCCGAGGCACTCGGACTCGAAAGGGTTCGGATCCACGAACCTAGAGACTTACTCGGCCCCGGACTCGAAAGGGTATTAAGCAAGCCTAGAGATCCGAGGCACTCGGACTCGAAAGGGTTCGGATCCACGAACCTAGAGACTTACTCGGCCCCGGACTCGAAAGGGTATTAAGCAAGCCTAGAGATCCGAGGCACTCGGACTCGAAAGGGTTCGGATCCACGAACCTAGAGACTTACTCGGCCCCGGACTCGAAAGGGTATTAAGCAAGCCTAGAGATCCGAGGCACTCGGACTCGAAAGGGTTCGGATCCACGAACCTAGAGACTTACTCGGCCCCGGACTCGAAAGGGTATTAAGCAAGCCTAGAGATCCGAGGCACTCGGACTCGAAAGGGTTCGGATCCACGAACCTAGAGACTTACTCGGCCCCGGACTCGAAAGGGTATTAAGCAAGCCTAGAGATCCGAGGCACTCGGACTCGAAAGGGTTCGGATCCACGAACCTAGAGACTTACTCGGCCCCGGACTCGAAAGGGTATTAAGCAAGCCTAGAGATCCGAGGCACTCGGACTCGAAAGGGTTCGGATCCACGAACCTAGAGACTTACTCGGCCCCGGACTCGAAAGGGTATTAAGCAAGCCTAGAGATCCGAGGCACTCGGACTCGAAAGGGTTCGGATCCACGAACCTAGAGACTTACTCGGCCCCGGACTCGAAAGGGTATTAAGCAAGCCTAGAGATCCGAGGCACTCGGACTCGAAAGGGTTCGGATCCACGAACCTAGAGACTTACTCGGCCCCGGACTCGAAAGGGTATTAAGCAAGCCTAGAGATCCGAGGCACTCGGACTCGAAAGGGTTCGGATCCACGAACCTAGAGACTTACTCGGCCCCGGACTCGAAAGGGTATTAAGCAAGCCTAGAGATCCGAGGCACTCGGACTCGAAAGGGTTCGGATCCACGAACCTAGAGACTTACTCGGCCCCGGACTCGAAAGGGTATTAAGCAAGCCTAGAGATCCGAGGCACTCGGACTCGAAAGGGTTCGGATCCACGAACCTAGAGACTTACTCGGCCCCGGACTCGAAAGGGTATTAAGCAAGCCTAGAGATCCGAGGCACTCGGACTCGAAAGGGTTCGGATCCACGAACCTAGAGACTTACTCGGCCCCGGACTCGAAAGGGTATTAAGCAAGCCTAGAGATCCGAGGCACTCGGACTCGAAAGGGTTCGGATCCACGAACCTAGAGACTTACTCGGCCCCGGACTCGAAAGGGTATTAAGCAAGCCTAGAGATCCGAGGCACTCGGACTCGAAAGGGTTCGGATCCACGAACCTAGAGACTTACTCGGCCCCGGACTCGAAAGGGTATTAAGCAAGCCTAGAGATCCGAGGCACTCGGACTCGAAAGGGATGACTGGCGTTCGAAGCTATATCCAGGCGCTTCCGAAGCCATGATAAGTCCACTTGGTGACGCTCCATGTCAGAGATCCCCTGATACGCCGTCTCGACTACTTTTCCATTAAGGTCACACAACCGTTGCGTGTCCAAGCTATATAAGATAGTGGCAAAAGGCTCGAGAAGAGCAGTCTGAATGAGTGGACACTGGCAAGCAAATGAAGCAAAGGTCTCCGGGTAACTTGAATGCACAAGCTGTAGAACTGAAGCAAACTCAGGAGCTACCCAATAATGGAGAAATGATACTTTGCCAGAAGCTGAAGGAGGAATTGGGGCCGGAAAGCTGCTAGTCTCAGGAATCTCCCCAATGTCTATCGTGTTAGATGAACCACCTGGAGGGGTAACTCCCGGCAGAGGTCCCGAGCTTGAGAATGCTGAACGATAAGGGGAAAGACCAAAAGCATCACTATCAATGTGAAAATCACTGAGATTCAAATCCAAAATATTCAAAGGCACTGGCGATAAAGAACCTCTGGCAGTCGTCTCAAAGGCAGATGTTCCCCCTTGAGAAGGAGAACCGTGAGGAGTTACAAAGAGAGTCGGAGTAGAGTCCGGGGCAGGTGAAGACGGGACCCCGGTAGCAGCTAACACTGGAGCAGAGTCCGAGGCAGGTGAAGGCAGGACCCCGGTAGCAGCTAACACTGAAGAAAAGATAAGAAGGCCTTATTAGAGGTAGGGAACAGGAAAGTCATTTAAGTAAAGATTTCTCACAGATATAAGTAAATGACAAACTTCAAAAAGAAAGATTACCAGAGGGAGAATCAATATGCAAAGCAGGGGCAACTGAAGGACTCCTAGCATCAACAAAGTCACTTGGTCGTGTAGAGACCACCTGATCGATCTCAATGTCTGACGAAGCTTGAACAGTAGCAGTCATCCCTGAAGAAGGAAGGAGGGCCGGAGGATGAGAATCACCATAAGTGCCAGAGCGAGTCTCAGAGATTTCTAGCACATCCACCTCCACACCATTCCCAGAGGCGCACCTCGTCTCTACATTGCTTCTAGAAGCATGGCCTACGGCATCAATTTCTATGGCATCAGTCCCTTCAGTAATCTCAACATCAGAACGGTGAGCCCCAATAACCTCGTCACCAAGATTGCGCTCCTCCTCAGCTACGGTAGGGCAGTGACGACGCATGCGTGGAATAAGGTCACAAAAATGGTCGGAGGACTCAGCCTCATCATCGTCATCATCTATAACTGCTATACAAGAGGTGCGCATCTTCACAAGTCTTGCAGACAAAGGGAGGATGTCGTCCAAGTCTGAGTCCGGCCTGGGGGAGGCCGCATGGCCAGGAGCCTCGGTACTGAGAACGTCAACAACCGCAGGATCCTACACAACATGGACAAATAAAAGTTTTCGTTTTAGAAGGTATAGTGGCAAAAAGGAAAGTAGCTTCAAATCAAAAATTTCGGGTACCTCATGAAGCCTTTTGGAAAGGCGAGGAGCGGAAGGACTGGCATCAGAAGTCCTCTTGTGAGCCATCTTCTTAAGGCGGGTCGTCCGAGGACCAGAGGCCTTATTCAAAGGGACTGGCTCCAAAGAAGTAATTGCCAAGCTAGAAGCAGATGCCCTAGCAGAAGGGTCAGTTGGAGCAGATGAGGTGAAGAAACTCTCGTACATGTGGTCAGATTTTCGGCTCTCGGGTAGCCGAAGAGAAGAATCCTTCTTATAAATCGGCGGAGGCAAACATACGGTCGGTCTGCTCTGGACAAATGCAATAAACGCATCGATATTCTTCTGCCAATACCGCCTGAAAGAGGGGGTGAAACCCCCTACTCGGCTCAAGCCTGGCATCGTCAAAGAGCCGGATATGGGAAGCACGGTGTGTACAAGCCCGCGACTGAAGTGCCCGTAGCTCGCTGAAAATGATAATAAAGGAGGTGCTGGCCCCGTGGCACATTGATCAAACCCGAATTGACATGCTACGCAGTCAGGCCTATAAATGGCACTATCAACGCCTTCCTCATGCCATACCGGTAATGAACTCGGACGGATCATAATCAGCATATCAACAAAGGGTGCAGGGATGTTCTTCGGCAAAGGAAAGGACACCGAGCGGGAGGAACCATGATAGATAAGCGGTGTGGCCACACCCACAGGCGGGCATACATACGGCCGTGCCACAAAGCGTCGGAGATCATCCACTAGAGTATTCAAGGATAAGGTGGAAATGGTACGTGACCAACGTGTAATCAACGGCTGGCAAGACTTCGCTTTCCCAAATGTCCGAGACCCATCAATATCGAGCACGGGGATGCCATCTTTATCCACTATCTCCCGAAGAACCTCTGCCTCGAATACAGTCGAAGCAGGGGCAAATTTTGGGAACCTCTCGAAGAAGAAACAAAGGAGGAACTGGCTGTGAATAAAGGAGACAGGCTCATATCGACCCACGGAGCGAACCATATCTCGATGTAGTAGATCCAGCCGATAATAGAGATTCCCAAGAAATAGGGGAGCCAAAGAGATCCGATCTCCTCTGAAGAGCCTAACTGCCAAGGGGAAGACGAAAGGATTGAGGGAATCCGGAGGCGTGCTCGAAAGAATGAAGAATGAAAGGAAGCAAGCCAGAAATCCCAAGAAATAGAGCCTGGAGCCATACATCGGACCGGCCTCATACTCCCGAGAGTCAGGGTCAGCATCTCTGGCCAAGGGCTGAAGATCCTTGAAGAAGTAACGGATCCATGCAGTATAGGAGGCACGGTCCGTCCTTACTCGACTAGTCCTCCTCGCTGAACCATCAAAAACAGAACTCCACCGACCACAAGTTTGAAGATTTAGCTTCAGAGATTGGATCAAAGAATCATCTTCGGGGGGTGTCTGCTCAGGGTCGAAGGCATCAGGGCCGGTCACTTCCAGACGCAGCAACATGAACACATCCTCAAGGGTGGGCCCCATCTCGTGCTGGCCAAGTATAAAGGTGTGTGTCTCGGTGCTCCACCGAAGAGCCATGGCTTCCAAGCTAGCATTGTTGCGACGGATGGATAGAGATCTAGATATTTTCACCGGGATCAATAGCCGGGCCTCTTGAAGCCGCTGACAGAAGCTCTTGTCCGAGAGAACATCATCGACCCACTCCTGCCAACCAAAAGGAGGGTTTAAGAAGGCCTTGAACTGAGGATAACAGTATGGAAAGTCCCCCCGCTCAATCCAAAAGCGTAGCACCGAGGAAGGAGAAATGAGGGCCTCATGTCCAGAGTCAGTGTCCTCAGTGAGACATAATGGAGCCCCCTTCGGAGATAGAAGAGAAGAGACTCTAGGTATTCATGGTTCAAACCACGTCCTCCGACTGAGAGAATTCTCTAAGTCCCTCACCGACCGAGCATATAGTTGGTATGTTAATTTGGCCCCAAACTCTGTCCGAAGTTGGGAGGAAATGGTTAACAAATTCCACTCCAAGTTCTTTCAAGTGGCGGAGAAGGTGACCACACTTACATTGTGTAAAGAGAAGCAACAAGAAAGTGAAGACAATCCATCCTACATCATGAGGTGCCTATAAATAGCACCCACCCATAGTTTTACAATGGATCGTTTTTGAAGAGACAATTTTTGGAAAAGAACTAATTTTCCTTCTCCAATATCTACATTGAGAGTGAAAGTGGTAGATCTATGGGAGAGTTATGCCATTATTCTCTCTCTAATCTCTCTGTCTTCTTCTTCACCCAATCTCTTATCTCCATCATCTCCTTGC